TTACCGCCCGCCGAGACCGGCGGCCCGCCGTAAGCGGCGGCGACGCCGCGGCGCGTTGAAAGACGGCCGCGGCGCATCAGCAACGCGGCGGCTCCGCATAATGAAGTGGAAACATCGATTTGTGTACCGGTGTGCGGTTAATTGGCAGATGGAGGGGGCCAGAGGCGCCGAATTGCCCCCTCCGAGTGCCGAGGCGATGGATTGCGTGAAAGTGAACTCCGTGCATGTTTCGTCCTTCTGCCTTCTTTCTAATAGTCCGCGGAGGGTGACGTTCCCGCTCACGGAAGGCGGTACTTGGAAAGCCATGACCATCGTTAGACCGTCACTAGAATGTACTCGGCCCAAAAGGGGAGTTTTTCATTCCTAAAAAGGAACTTTGGTGAGAAGCGTTTCAAAACTGTCAGGAAACAAATCTGCACATCAAGTGTATTGTGCATCGAATAAACTCAGCTCTAAAACATGATATGCAAAAGAGTTAAATACCTCTCAGTGGCTCTTAACAAATGTCCTCTACAGTACCGGATTAAAAAATAAATAAAATAAAATAGACGTCGTTTAAAAATTGTTTGCGTTTCGACCACTAGAGGGAGCCCGCACAGCACCAGCCTTCCCTGATCAGTTTTCTGGTTAGTTTTTGCATTTGGAGTTTTGTTTCATTTCATTTAGTGGGTGTGTTCATTTGTATTGGTTCGTTTTTTCGAAAATGCTCCATTTTAGTCGAGTTTTACTCATTGCTTTTTTAATTAAAAAAAAAAAAAAAAAAAAAGCAAAGTAAGTAGCGTGTGGTCAAAACTCCAAAACAAATCAGCTACAGCATAATAGGCTAGAGTAGCGATCACGAACTAAGCCCAAAGGCTCACGGATGACATGAATTGACAAAGAGGCGCATTTTAGTGCGCGTCCACTTTTCACCCCCCTGTCCATTGGAGACCTGCCGAACTTCCGAAACACACAGCGGAATTGTTGCGTTGCAATAATGGACATGAACGACCACCCTGACAATTTTTTTGTTTCTACCGAGTCACGCTTTGGCGTTGTCACGTTGCCACCTTGAGAAAGGGAATGCCGGTGCCTGAATGTGCCTCTCTTTGTTTGGGGGCGCAGACCCCGTCTCGTCTCGTCGCTGTCGAGCGAATGGGCGGAGAGGCTCAAAGGCCCGAGTCGGCACGTTCGGCCCGCCGCCGCGCTCGCGCACTCTGACGCCGCTTTGGCGGATGACTCGTGCGCTTTGCCAATGCGGACGACCCCCAGAGGAGAAGTGTCCTCCAACGTGACGTTGTCAGTCTCATGGCTTGGTAATTCACCCAAAAGCGTGACTTTTTGACCTGAGCTTGACAACATATCGTTTTGGATGAGTTCCTCAATGGTGAAAGGCCCGTCAGTGTATTTGGAGTCACCTGCCTGAATCCGGCAGCGTACTCATTCCGTTAGTGGCCACAGCGTGGCAGCAGAGCGCCGTCAAAAAGCAGACCGCGCGAGACGCCTGCCGGCTGCGCTCCCCTGCGCCTGCGCGCCAAGTGCCAAGTGCCACCTGAACGGCAGTGGAGCTTTGTCTCCGCCGACTCATTCATCCTGTGCTAGATTAACAGCCAAACGTTGGCTCTGACAGTCATTCTCTGCCTGACTTGTGCAGCGGCCGAGAAAAAAGTCCGTTATTGGGGGAGAGCAATTAAGTGCAATGGCATGAGTTTGCGTGGCGCCCTCGATGAATGTGCAATTGATTGGAAACTTTATTATGATTATTTTTTTGTATCGCTCCTTACTGCCATCCGAAGGACCGGAGTGGAACTGTGTCGACCGGAAAAAGCTAGGAGCGCTCGACCCGCAAACGTTTCTGACAAATTGCAGACCTCTTCCAATAAATAGGCATTCATCAACCCCCATTGTCGTGACTTTACTTTGCGTGGGAACGTTTGCTCCTGCCGCTTTGGTTGCCGTCGGCGACGGAGGAAACAATGTCCACCCGCCTCTTTTTCCAGCTTCCTGCCACCGCTTGCAGTCGCGGCTTTTGCTGACACGGGCGCTCTTGCGGAGGATTACCGAGCCGGGAGTTCACTAATGACCCTCTCCTAGCAGTCCCTCTTCATTAAATAATCATCGACATGGTTCGACATCAGGGGGGGCGATCGGGAACCAATCGAGGGCGCCTTCTCACCGGTGCCTGCCCGTGTAGTTAGCATGGGGAGGGGGGTGGGGTAACCCCCAACCCCCAACGCCCTTGCCGTAGCAATGAATGCGTCAAACGATGCAGTCAGTGGCAAAGTGACAACGTTTTGGGCCTTACTCGGCCGGCCTCTTGTCCAAAATAGAGCGTCCGCCCCGTCAAGAGTGAAATGCGCGCTTTGTGCCCCTCGGCAGCTGTCGGTGGCTTTTGATGAAGGGGGCTCTCGGCAAGCCCTTTTCCACCCAGAGGCCGCCGCCGCGCGAGCGCGCGCGAGGGCTTTCGGCATGCCGGCGAGCTTGCCGACTGAGGCCGCGCGGAGCCGCTCGGGCGCACCGGGTCCCCTTTTTAGAGGCTCCGTCTGGCGGCTCCGGCGTCACCCTCTTGAGCTTCGGCGCCCGCTTGTGGATGAAGCACGGCCGTCGGGCGGCGGCGACGCTGCAACTTTTTAGAGTAGGGGCAAATGCCTTCCGTACAGTAACTCGGCCGGGCGGGATGCTAGCACGCCATGCGAAACGCCGTGGACGGGCTAACGAATAGCATCCAGGCGGTGCCGTTTGAACCCTTGGTCCAGTTCGCCCCGGGCCCGCCACCCGTTTCTCGGCCCCGCTTGAGTGGGCTTCCGACAGTTGACGAGCTTTCATCCTTCCCCTCTTCTGTTTGCGGCCCTCCGACGAAAACGTTCGGACACCCCCGCCTCAGTCGACATTTGAAAACAAACGCTCGTCAAGGGGATCCCTTCCCCGATCGTTGGGCCGAGCCCCCGGCGGGCCCGAGCCCGGCGTCGGAGCGCTTCCCCGAGTCTCGGGCGCAAAGGCGTTTCTTGGAGAGCGGCGACTCCCCCCGCGTCCTCTCCTCCCGTCCTCCGTCCGGGCCGGCCCCCCCCCCCCGCAGACCCTCTGTCTGCGCTGAGAAAAGCGGGGAGCGGGGCAGACTGTTTTATTTGTGCGGCGCGAGGTTAAAAACTTCCCGCGCAATTCACATTCCGGTAACACTTTCCAATAATGGGGCGAGCAATTTCCTTGAAATGGATGCGTGGCCGCCACAAGGCAAAACGGCGCTTGGAGCTTTCGCTCACCCGCGGCTGACCTCCGCTTGGCCCGCCTTTCTCGGGCGCGCGCGTGCCGGCGGGAGAAATCGCGGGACCGGCGCGTCGGGCGCTTTGCCGCGTCGGGACGACGGGAGGCGCGCCGCTGCCCGCGCCGCTCGTTCCGTGTTGGAGCTCATAACTGGATTGGCCACTCAAGAGGAAGACCGCTCGCTCCGTTGAAATGAAATGAATTGAATTGAAATTGAATCCTCGTCATCGACCGAGGAACTTCCCTCAAATGCTCATTCGGAACAACGCGGGCCCGCCTGCGCCTGCGCCTGCATCTGTATCTGCGTATGAATTCGAGCAAGTGTGAGTGAGTGACGGTACTTTGGAGAGAGTCGGCGTCATTGATTGTGTGAGTGAAGAGCGCGCGAGTGTACACAAGCGTGCGTGCGCCTCGGCAATGTTCCCATATTTTGTCCTGCCTGTTTTCTGCCGGCACCCAAAGTAAGCAAGCAAATGAATCGACGCAAATATTTTCACATTCGTTCATCCCCGAGCGCCCTTCAGCGACGGCGGCACCACGGCAATTTGTTTTTCGCCCCCTCCCGACTCGCCGCCGTGCTCAGTCGGTGCCGGCGCGGGTGAGAAAGCGCGCAAACGCAAACGTCTCCCGCCGGGCCGCAGACGGCATCCTTGGCCCGCGGGCGTGACCGCCAAGTAGGACTTGCGGTGCCGCGACGGTGTGTGTGCACGCGCGCGTGTGTGTGTCAGTGCGTGCACGGGTGAGTGTTATGAATGCATCATTTTGACGCAAGTAAAGAAACGTGCGGTATTCAAATTTACAGTGCAGCCTAAAAAAAAAAAAAAAAGTTTTCTGTTTTCGTAAGAGA